TTAAGTGGAAGAAGCCCCCAAGTTTGGAATTGACAATAACAATTTAGTTTGTGACTTCATAGATAACTATGAAACTTGTTCAATACCACATGAAAAAGGAAAATTGAAATAACAGGTACTTTTATTGCAGCAACATAAGCACTCTTTGTATTGTCGTAGGAACAGGAACTGTCAGTTCAAATTTCCTCATCCTCTGAGTAAAAATACTTTAATTACGAGTCCAATAACTGAAGACAATTCTAATGATGCTTCTAAAATATTAAAAAAAGTACATAAAATTTTAGTTGATGGAACAACTGATGTCAGTCTTACTGATTTGCTAAGATTGGCTGAAGTTGATCCAACATTACTCTAGGACAATAACTTATTCCACTAGAGGTAACATTGTATTAAAAAGAGAACCATCTGAATGTAACGTCAATAATTACAATTCTGCCATTTTGAAGGCATGGGGAGCAAATATGGACATCCAGTATGTCCTAAATGCATATGCCTGTGTCATGTATGTTGCTTCATACATCACAAAGGCAGAAAAGTCAATGAGTGAATTGCTTCGTTCTGTTTCTGAAGAAGTTAGGAATGAAGATTTGACTGTTTAGCTTCATAAAATAGGCTATGCCCTATCAAACGGAGATGTGCCCGCACAAGAGGTAGTCTACAAAATACTTTCATGAAGATGTAAAGTTTGGGGATGTTAGTGTCCTTGCAGTTGGTGATTTGTATCAGTTACCTCCAGTAGGACAAGCTCCATTGTTTGCTACCGTGAATGATAGCTCTTTAGCTTCTTTATATGGGTCTGGTTCCTAATGGAAAGATAAGTTTCAAATGATTGAACTCCATGAAATTATGAGGCAACGAGGTGATAGCCTTTTCACTGAACTTCTGTGTAGGGTTCGTACAAATAGCTGTACTGATGAAGACATTAATGTTCTTCAAAGTAGAATTATCACTCCTACATCACGTGATTATCCAACTCATGCTCTTCACATATATCGCCTCAATAAAGATGTAGATGATCGCTACAAATTCATGCTGAACAAGCTAGCATCTGAAGAACAGTTTTTGATTAAAGCAGCTGATGCAACTGGTGATAAACCCATTGACCTGTCAAATGTGCCAGATAAAAGAACAGAGACCGGAAATCTACATACCACATTAAAATTAGCTGTTGGTGCTCGTGTCATGCTCACTGTTAATGTATATGTCTATGATGGACTGGTTAATGGGGCCTGAGGAGAAGTTGTTCATGTTGCAGTGAACGAAGAGAATAGTCATATTAGAATAATTGTGAGTTTTTTACCATCATGCATATAACTTTCATCAAAGTTTCAATTCATGATTAAATAACTATCACTTTATTGTACAAAAGTACTTAATATTTTCACTTTTAAAATATTATATAGTACATTTATAATGAACACTTCTTAGTGTGATATTGCTGCGAAAGGTGGGAATTCAACACCAGTGAGATGAAACTACTGCGGTGGCAAATCAAATGGTGTATTTTACCCACTTCGATCAGGTGTATTTCCCACCGGCATTTTTGCAGTGCAGTGACTGAACAGACTTAGTTCTAATCATTTAAAGTTGGTTTTAGAATGTTTTATTTACGACTTCTTAATATTTTTAAATTAAGTATTAGTTAAAAACCAGGAGTAACTGAGTTTTAGGCTTCGTATACACAGAAATGTATAACGATTGTTTTTGAAATCATACACATTATATACGGTTTCCGTTTCCATAAACTTCTATCAAGATTCTATCATGTTTTTATTCCTTTCTTTGCCATATAAATGCAGCTTTTACATGATGACGGATCAGACTCAGTTCTGATCATTGAAGGGTTTAAAGAAAATGTTTCATACTCTACTTCTAACTATTACTTTCTTAGTTCTAAATATAGTTTATAGGAGGAGTGACTTATGTAACAGAGTTTGAGGCTGCATTTGCACAGCAACAAAAAATGATTTTCTTTTGGAACAATACACTTTGAATACTGATTTTTTCAATTAGTTTTATCCATTATCTATGATGTTTTGATTTGTATCTTTCCTTTGTAAATGCAACCTTAATTTGTTCATTTTGGTTCAAAAACTATAATTAAGCATGTATTCTTCACAAATTATTAGAACTATGTATTTATGCAGCATTTAACTTTTATTGGATTAATTTATATTTCATTGATTATAAAAGTAATTAGAAGATTAGGAGGAATCATTGAAATTAGATGAATCATCAGTCATTAAGAGACCAGTGCATTGTACATTTTTTACAGCTTAACATGTAAGTTTGATGGAGAAAGGGAGAGGAAAGGGAAACCAGAGGCTTTGAATGACATAAAATAACATACACAGTATTTTACAGTATTTAGTGTATTTCTTATTTTTTATACAAATAGGAATCTTGATTTTGCTAATAAGGTTAATTTTTTTACATTAAATATTTCTCTTTTATAGTTATTATTAAATTATCCACTCAGTATAGTCTTGACCTTTGCACTGAGAAAGGAGCATCAAACTGGGTTTCAGCTCTCCGCTTAACCTCTCTAGATTTCAACCTCCACAAATCTGCTTGCTTTTAGAAGTGCATTCACCTTCAGTATGAATGGAATATCCGTGATGCTCCATCTGACTGTACCTGTGGTCAATGTTTCTCTCTCAACCATGATTTGTCATGCTTTGTCCGTGGTTTTCCATCTATCTGCCATAATGAGGCTTGTGACATCACTGCTACATTGCTATCTGACGTTTTTTCTAATGTTGAGGCAGAACCCCATCTGCAACCACTCACATATGGTCACTTCCAACTTTGGACGACTAATCATGTTTATCAGAGGAGTTTGTTTGTCTCAACACAAACTGATTCTCAATTCTCCCTTTGACCTCCAACTGGTGGGAGACGCCACTCTTTTTGTTGACTATGACTATCATTGCTAATTTCAATTATTTTACTAACAATTGTTCATTCCATCCTTAATTGTTATTCTTAATTCTTCCCCCTCTCATTCTCTCTCCAGTTGCCTTTCTCTCCTTTTCTTTTGTTATTATAGCTACTACTATCATTTTTATTGTCAAAATTGTTGTTGTTTGTTGTCGTTTTTTATTACTTTGTTATTATTGTTATTATTATTGTTATTGTTTGTCATTATTGTTGTTATTATTATTATTGTCATTGTTATTATTATTTTGAATTAACTGAGTATTTTTCTTCTTTAATGGCTCTCTATTTTGCCTCTCTCACTAACTGAGTATTTTTCTTCTTTAATGGCTCTCTATTTTGCCTCTCTCACTAAGTTTAAACTTTCTTTACTTGCTAAAATTTAAAAAGCAGTCAATTATACCACTAAATTGTTTTTGTTTCCATTTTTGTTGCCGTTTTTTCTTATTTTTTTAAATTTGATCACTACAGTTCAATTATTTTTGACTTCATTTGTTTTTTATTCTTAAAAGGTATTTTGATGCCAAATTCAATGCTGCTTCTTAAATTTAACAATTATTGTTAGTAAATGACAAAAGATTAAATGGAAAATGTTAGCAATATTTTAATAATGAAAGAATACATAATGAAAGTATGCATTACATTACTGGATTAGAGGATATAACAAATGACTTAATGTAATTGTCTCTTTTTGAATGTTATGACCATTAGATCCTTAATCTTGAGAAGACTTTGTTCAGCTTGATTGTCAATGCTGTCTCCTAGTAGACTTTTGATTACTAGAGTACAAGCTTTCAATAGTTTATGTCCACCTGCAGATGCAAACAGGATATTACATGATGCTTGAATTTCACAATTGGATCTCTCTTGTACAATGTGACACTTTGAGCATTTACATCAACTGAATCAAGTTTGCTTCCTCAACTAATGCAGCCCCAATACAGATTACAATAATGGGTCCCTATGATTCTGGCATCATTGATAATATCAGAATTATCCTCATCCTTGATATCAAAATGCAGTGTTATAGTATCATCATTTTTATTTGGTGTTAGAGTGAATGAACTGTTGCCTCTTAGTGTCAGAGTTTTCTCATCCCTGAATGTTCCAACGGACAAATTCGTAAAATCATATGAGGAATAATCCTTAAGTTGATCCACATTTTTCTCCCAACAGCATAGCTTGATGGTTCCTGTTTGATCTGCCAAGGTGACTTCTTGTAAGTGTCCAGTTCGTACTACTCTAGCACAAGCTACATCTATAACTTTACAGCCAAGATTGACCAATACACCATCTGCTGCATCCAATATTTCTGATATGCTCAGTTTTTTGGCTTACTCTGGAACAGGCACTATTATTGTTTTTGGGGAAGGCTCCATCTCAGTAGTAGGCCTCAAAATGACCTCCAGTGCGTCATCATAATTGCTCTTTTTAACTTCGCAGTTGGTAAGATGGACTGGTATCTTTGCTGCACTAATGGCAGATAACTTTGCTCAACTTTTAGAGTTGAATCTAGCAATCCTAAAGGACCTTCCTCCATCAGTCACTTTCCCATGATAGTAACTCCCTTGCAGTAGTGCTCTTTTTCATGGGAGACAAGAACTCAATTACAGCATAAAACTCAGAATTACAGCCCTCTTCTTTGATATCAGAGAGGCTTTCAAAAGTTAGTCTTTTGTTGACATCGCTTTAAAATACAAAGAGAATGAAAAACTTAGACCTATAGCAAGAACTGACAAGTTTTGCATTGAGTATAAATATAGTAACAAATGATGTCATTATTACATTGTGAGTTGCTTTAAGTCTGCAGAACCTAAAAATGCCATGGTAACTGCTGAATGGATTTCAAGCTTGCAGAGCCTCATCATGATGATGTAATGTATACAATTCAGCAATCTTATGTATACACTTGGCATCTCACCTTGCCACTCAAACTAAAGTTGTAACAGTTACATCACAATTATATCATTGATCAAAGCAACCAAAGCATTATAAAAGAAAAAGTGGCATCACTGCAAAGGAACAAGATCAAAAAGACTGAAGTTAGTGAACTATTAGGTATGGCTACACCAGAAGACACCTCCGACAAAATATTTGAAGAAGAAGAGAACATGTTAGTAGCTGAAGACACTTGGACAGTAAATTTGATTTTAGTGATAAAAAAATATCTTCACATTTTTAGTGTCAATATTATAATTGTACAATAAAGGCAACAAAACAAGCATCAAGACACAAAATTAAATTATGCTGGTACCATGTTGCTGCATTACATGTGAGTTATTTTGCTTACAATTGCAATGATAAATTTTGTAGAAAAATGGACTTGAAGCTATTATTGTCAAGGAGACAAAATGTCCTATCAAAGAGTGTAAGAATGTGAAGAAAGAAGAACACATATTATGCCATGTACATGCAAAAATGCTGAAAATAAGTGATTCAACCATAAGAAAACAAAATAAAGAAAACATGGTATATATATACTGAAAAGTATAAAATAATTTTTAACCATTTCTTTACAAATTGATAGTCAATATGAAAAATCTAAAGACAGTTGTTAACAAGTCATAAGTCAACGAACAATGTTTTTTTTCTTATTATTCATTATGTGATAAATATTACTTGAAAATCACAATGTATCATAATATGACTTTGAATCTAAATTTATAACAAAATTAAATCCTATAGATGAAACCTATGAGAAATAAGGTGTACCATAATTAATAATAAATAAAAAGAATACATCTGCATAATTTTGCAGAGAAATTTTGTGAAAAATAAATATAAAATTGTATTTATAAATATAAATATGAAATAAATATGTGACCATAATTGACAAAAGGTACCTTATGGCGGGTAGTGAAATTTGTCTTTCTAGCCTAAGAATTCCAACTTCCTGAGCCCCATTTATCATAAAATCACTCCACAGGATGCAAAAAGTTACCATGAAACTTTTAGAAACAATGATTGTCTAACAAAGCACTCACAGGTTGATATTTGCCATTATTAAGATCAATTTTAATATCCGCCATAATGGCCCTTTTGTCAATTATGGTCACATATATATAAAATATAAAAAATGTGACCACATCAGTGGTCATTGTTTCAAGCTTAATAGAAAAGGTAACATTCCTTTCAATTTAACAAAGAAATGCACTCAGTGTTTTCAAAAATTTGCAATAAATAAATAATTTTGTGCTAACTAGGGTCATAATTTTAAAGATAAGAAGGGTATAAAACCTTTAAATGTTCTGAAAGGATGGCCATATTAAAACATTAAGGTCATTATTATTAAATAATAAAAATATTATTATTATTATTGCAATTTTAAAGGACTAGACATGAGAAGGAGAAACAGATAGTAGTAGAGGTCCAGTAGAAGGGAGTAGTCGTAAAGGAATGACAGGGTCTAGCCCTGCCACCCAGTACATAAATACAGAAAAGAAAAGGACTCAAGTGGAGGAGAGAAAAGAGGATGGGAGAGATATACATAACCATTTAGAGCATGGACAGACAGTGTGTAGAGAGTGTGTGAATCAGAAAAATTAAAAACATTTGTAAATTTGTCAATAGAATGGGATGTAATTAGTTTCTTAAAACTTGGGATAGACATTGAGAGATTGATTGGAGGTAGAGAGTTCCATAACCCGGGAAAGCGGTGAAAGAATGTGTGACGAGCTGAGGAGCAAACAAGGGAGGAGTGAACTAACTTGTTGTGGGCTGAGCTTTGAGTGGAGTAAGTTGAGAAAAAGAAATAGTTACAGATGTCAAATGAGTGGTCCCAGTGTTTAAACTGGACAAAGAAGAAAACAGATTCGATATATTCCAGACGATACATCAGTGGTAATAGTTTGAGCAAGGAGAGTCTAGACTTGCAGTCTGACTGGTAGTCAAATAGAATATATTTAGTAGCTCTCCTTTGGAGCTGCACTAGAAGCACAAAGTCCTTAACCAGAGTGGGTCTCCGCACAGGAGAACAGTATGTTAGGATAGGGACTACTAGTGACAGATATAGCTTCTTTACAACTGTAGGTGCTGTGGCAGCTGGAAAGACTCTTTATCATTCTCAGTACATTATAGGCCTTCTGGAGAACACAGTCCACCTGGGCAGACCAGGAGACTGTGTAGGAAAAAACTACACCAAGGTCCTTACAGATTTGTTGATGGGCAATTGGTTGACCATCTAAGGAGTAGTCAAATTTGACAGGGGCAGACCTCAGAGAGTGATAGCTAACAACACAGCTTTTGTTACTTTTGATATAATGTACACCAACCACTTCCTTGAGTGAGCACCAGAACTTTCAATTTACCTATACATTCTTAGTCTCAATAAATCATAAGGGAAACTAAGATGACCAGGAAGCTCTTGCTACCATATTAATTTTCTAATTTTTCAGGGCTACACCCAGCCCACTACTTTAAATTAGAACCTACTTCATTCAAAGCATAATTATGTAAGTTGTTTATTAGTACTAGTTTAGCATTTTATTACTTGTTTTCACAGGTGCTGCATGTCTTAGTATACATGCACAGACTTTTTTGAACCAACCTTCATTGTATGTATTTTTGGTA